ATATGTGGATGGATGAAATGTGGCCTGTCTTGGCACAGGGAGACCACTGGGCAGCCAGGGAAGTGATGAGGGCAAAAGGGCAGGGGCTAGCGGCCAGCACACACATGGCTTTCAAAAGAGAATGTCTGAGAAAAAGGACACTCGAAGGTGGAAACTTGAGTCCTTGGGGCCAGATTACGGGGTCAGGTTAACAGAGAGAAACCTGGTATTTGAGGTAGAACGGAGACATTGCTGGAAAGCTGTATGGCTTTCAGATGTGGCCAAGTCTTCCTTGATCTTGAATAGAAGCCTGATCCAGTTCTGGGGAAATCAATGAGTGGGAAGAGAAAGGAATTCTCAGTTCCTAGACCCATAAGAAGGGATAGTTGTGGTGTTCACATTTGGGATTAATTATCAAAGACCCACATACCTCCCCTTAAACCTGGCTGTTTAGTCAGAAAGCAGATGATGCTCATGTCCTCGAGGGATGAGGACCTTGAACCGGGAGATGGGCTTAGGAGTTTGGCTCTGACAAAGTCATGCTTCCTTTCTGGAAGATGGAGACAACAAGAGTGTCCAACTCAGGACTAAATGAGAGGGTGTCTTGGAGAACAGCTGACGCAAAGAAGGAGAAGCTACAACTGTTACTGGAACAAGGAAGTTCTGGCATATCCCAGAGGCAAGGCCCTGGCCAGGGTTGTAGTTCCAGAGTATCAATCTCTTCTGCACACTGTTGGCAGAGTGAGCTTTGTATTGCATAGATGTGATCCATAATTTGCTCCTCAACCTTTCATGGTTCCCTACTACCCTCTAGAGAAAGCCTAAATTCTTTAACTTGAACAATAAGGCCCTGCATGGTCAGGCACCCTCCGCCTTTCCTATCCTCACCTGAGGCCCGTTACAGCTTTCCTGACGGCCCCTGAGACCCCCAGAACTCCCAGGACATTTAGCTTCTTAGTGCTCAGCTCTCTACCTTGTTTTCACTTATCTGCCTTCCTCACAAGTCTATGAGGGGAAAACTCAATAAATGTCTGCTGAATGAATGAATGAAAGGGGGGCAGTTCTAAGAAACAAGGGGGTCACTGTACACTGGCCAAATGCTTTGAGAGGTATCTATTTCAGCAGTGTAGGAATTATCAGTACCCATAATTCACAGATAAGGAGACTGAGGCTAAGGTAATCTCACTTCCTGACACTTAAATTCCTGAGCACCTGTGGATGAGGCAGGCACTGTGTTGGGCCCTCACAGATGGTATCTGTGTGCCAGCTAAGAGCAACAGATACAAGGCCAAGCACACCAGGTGACAGTTAAGGCCCTGAGACATTGCAGAAGAGCTTAAACTTTTGTACTTCAGTTCTTCACAGGGCTGCTGAAGACTTACAGGAAATAATGTGAGCCAAGTGCCCAGCATGGTGTCCAGTATATAGAGTAGACTTAGCAAGTATTTGATTCTAATGGGAGACATAGGCCCAGAAAAGTTCCCTGAGCTAAGATGAGGAGGGTAGGACAGAGTCCTGGCCCTTCTTCCCTGACTTCAAAAGCCAGTGTCCTTATGCAAATATGTGGTCCTGTGGGTCTCCTTAACCCAGAACTGATACAGTTCTGGTGGTTGGCCCCGGCCTGTTAGATGTGGAGGCCCCAGAGGGGGCTGTTGTAGCTGAGACCACTGCAGTCAAGTTCTACTTAAGAGGCAGCAAGGGCCCCCCAAGGTCACCCCAGGAAAGTCCAAGAGGCTTTATCTGGGGTTCCAGCCTCCCCAAGGCCCATCAGTAACCTGTTCGCCCTAGCTGCTTGTCCCCCTTTAGCCCCTACTTCTTCCTTTTGGGAGCTGGGATGTTGGAAAGAGGGTTTCCTGTAGGGCAGTAATGTCCAGAGGTCACCACGTCTTCATACGTGCTTCATAGCACTTTTATTTAACTGTCTTTTCCGGAGGCCTGGGTTTCCAGAGGCTGGCATCTCATCTTTTGTTTTCCCAGCACCCAGCATATTGCCCAGAATGCAGGAAATGGTTGTTGAATGAAGCAATGAATTACATTTCAGGACTCATCAGGTTCTTAGTCTGTACCCCAAACATGCCTTTACCTTAGAGAAACCTCATGCCACCCTATGCATTGGAAGCCACAGATGAGGAAACTGAGGTCTGGGGCTATTAAGTGACTGGCTCAAGGCCAAACAGGGGCAACTCTGAGGCTCTCAGGATGGTCTGTGGGAAAGTAAAAGGTTGAGAGGAACCTTGATGAACTGAGGCAATTGGCAGGGTATAACTGTCAGTCAGAAATGCTTAGCTCAAATTATTAGGTGTGAAGAAGGAAACGGTCAAAGCTTCCCCACTGAATTGCCCAGAAGGGGTTGGCAGGAGCGACTCCTTTGCAGAACAAGGGCTGGTCCCTGTAGGGCAGGACCCCGGAGTGTAGACCCTGCCCTTCTCTGGCTGGTCCTAGTGCACAGAACACCGCCAACCTTACTTTGTAGCTGGGAAACTTCAGGGTACCTCAGAAGCCCCCTGGGGTCATGTTGGTCGGGGACATTACTCTGGTTCCAGGGGGGGAATCTACCCTTTAAGAAAGTCGGCTTGCTGTCTTGGCAGGGCATGCATCCCGGCACTTACGGCGTGTTAAGCCTGTGTTTACTTGTGTGCCTCCATGGCTGGACTGTGGGTCTTGGAGAGTAGGAGGTTAGGGGCATGCTGAGCTCCTAGCCTACCGGGGCCAATCTCGGGGTGAAGGTCCGGAAAGGCTGAAGGGTGGAGTTTAGGGATCCCTGTGGCGATGCCGTGCAAGGCAAGGCCAAAAGCGGCCTTTTTCCCAAGTGGGCTCACGGATAACAGATAGAAGGGCTGCGGGTAAACACTCCACTGGGGCAATAATTATGCACATTTACTAAGCCTAGGGAGGAATGGTGGTCACGTGGCTCTCGAGGGCGGTGCCCTCAGCTTTGAGATGGAGTTAGCGCTAATCACAGAAGGCTTTCTGGAGGAGGCGGGATTTTTATGGCGGTAGATCGTGGTTTTCTCTGAACAGCGAGGATGCCCTTAGCATTTTAGGTAACAGCTAGCTGCCGCGGTGAGCTTTTTGCCGGGGCACAGGCCCAGGGGGCGACGGAGTCAGGCCGAATTGGGGGACGGACCTAGGGGGCCGGAGTCCCGGGGTGAGGCTGGGTTTGGGTTCCTTGACCGTCCTTGCGCCGTCTTTGATGATTGGACGCATCGTGGCCGCTCCAGGCCAGGGCTGCGGGGCCCGGGGTGCTGGGTGCAGGCCTCGAGGTCCAAGGTACCCTGGGAGCAGACAGCACTCGGCCGAAAATAAGGCCATTAGGCCTTGCTGGGCCAGCCGGGCGGTCCGCCCTCCCAACGCAGTTCCGCCGGGGTCCCGAAGCCCGGCTCGCAGGGGCGAAGCGCGCGCTCCCGGGGGATCAGGGCTGTGGAGCCGGCGGCCTGCGCTGGGCGGCTGTGGCACGAGAGGGCCATCTGCCTGGGTGCGGAGAACTGCAGCGTCCGCTGTGCGAGGCGCGGCCCCTCTGGGCCCCCAGCCCGCGTCCCCTGCCCCGCGCGCACACACCTACTGACGCCCGCCCGCGCCCGCGGCCCGAGTCCCCGTGCCAGGCCCAGACCCAGACTAGGCGCGGGAGGCGGTGCAGGGATTAGTGGACCCCTCCCCCCAGCGCTCCCCTCGCCCCGCCCGAGGCAGCGAGGACCCCTGGGCCCGGGGGTGGTGAGGGAGCTTCGTCCCGGCGGTGCCCGGGCTGGGGACACGGCATCACTGGGCGGGGGCCGCACGGCGGCAGGCCGAGGTGCGGGCGCGCTGTCAGGCTGCTGCCCGGCTCGGGTGCGGGGGGTGGGCTCAGCGCGGGGGTCGCCTGGCCTCATCCCCCGGTCGAGGCTACGGCAGGGCAAGCAGTGCCCGGGCGGGTAACCCGACCCGACCCGGCTCCCGGTCGCCGCTCATCCCGCAAGGCCGGGCAGGGGGAGGGAGAGAAATGGGGGGAGGGGGAAGGGAAAGGGTGGTGGGTGAGGGGCTGTGGGGACCGCTGGGCCGAGTCCCCGGCCTGTCTGCGCTGCTCTAGGGCGGCTGCCTGTGTTGCCCGGGACGAGCCAGCTCCCTGCCTCGCGGGCGTCGGGCCTGCGGCAGAAGGGAGCCCTGAGGCTGCACAAGCTTGGCTCGGGGAGGCAGACCCGAGCTGCTGCCTCCATTTTGTTTCCTGCTCAGCTTGGTCTGTGGTGGTGGTGGTGTGGGTTGGGGGTGCGGCCGGGCAGGGGGTTCACCTGCGGCCGCGCCTGCTCGGGGCCTGAGGCCTCGAAGACCCCAGCCCAAGCCCCCAGGTGAGCCCCGCGGTAGGAGGGGGGTTGCCTTGGCTTCGGGCCGAGCCGAGCGGGCTGAGGGCAGGTGCCCAGTGGATGGGGAGACGGGCTGTAACCTAAGATGGAGGTCGGGACTGACGCGGGCCCGAGCGGGGCTGGCGGGGCGGTCGGACAGGCCTCAGCCGGGCCAGGTGCCGCCGGGGTTGGGGCTCGAGTTGGGTAGGGTGCAGGAGCCGTGTGCAGCTCGGGGCCGGCGCAGCGCCCCGAGGTAGGCTAGGGGATCTGAGTGCCACCCACGACGCCCGCAGGCCCAGACACTCCGGGGAGGCGCGCGAGGCCCCTGGGGAGCCTGCCTCAGGCCCCGCCCGGGCAGCCCGGCCGGCCCGTAGGCCCGGGCCGCGAGCCGGCGCGCAAGGGGAGGGAAGGGGGTGGCAACGGCGGCTCCGCTGATTGGGCGGCGCGCTCGCGAGCCCTACTTCACCCGCCCTGAACCCCGAAGAGTGAGGCGAGGGAGCGCGCGCGCGGTGGGGGAAGGGGTGCGCGCGCACTCGGTGCCCCAGCCGCACGCGGGCCGGCGCGAGGCGCTGGGTCGCACGCGCCGCCGCGGGGGCGCGCGCGGTGGGGGTGTGAGGAGGAGGAGGCGGCGGCGGAATAGGCCGGGGCAGGTCGCGCTTGCTGCCTTCTCCCCTGAAGAGAGACGCGGGGGGGGGGGGGTGCGGCGAGCGGCTCCGCTCTCTCCCCAAGGCTCCGCTCGCGCCCCAGTGTAATGAGGGTCACCCCCTCCCCCCAGCCGGCCCGGGAGGGGGCGCGGGGCACGGTAACTAGTGCGCTGGGGTGGGTGGCGGGCAGGCGCGAGGAGGAGGGAGGAGGTGGCCGGGCGGGGAAGATGGTGGTGGCCGTGAGGTGAGGGGTGCGGGGGAGGGCCGGGCGCGGTGTTGGTGGCCCGCGGCGTTGTAGCCGCGGGCCCCCCTCCCCCTCCATCACTACCAGCCGGGCTCAGGCCTAGCCGGCCGGGCCGCCGCGAACTTCCTCCCGGCGCGGCCCGTGCCCCGCCGGCCTCCCGCGCGCACCTCGGCCTCCGCCTCCCCTCAGGTAGCCGGCTGGTGGGCGCGGGGCCGGCGGCCCTCCTGCAGCAAACTTTGCTTGCTGCTTAATATTGATGAGTGCGATCGGCTTGGCCAGGAGGTGCTGCCGCGGCTGCGGGAAGGAGCGCGGCCCGGGCAGGCGGCGGCGGCGGCGGCGTCGGCAGCAGCCATGTTTGTCAAGCTGTAGCAGCTGCTGCTGCCCTGACTCGGCTTCACCGGCTGCCTCCGTTTCTCTCCCCCTGCCGCGTCCCGGCCTCTGGGCTTTGCAGCCGTGGACCGAACAGTTCTGCAGTCTGGACGGCGAGGTTCGGGGTGCACTCGCTTCGGCCGACTCGCCTGCGGCCTGGGCACGGCCCCTGCAAGGGCTTCAGCGCCGGCTGGGCGCAGGGTGCAGCGCTATTGTGACCGCTGCGCTCGAGCGAGCCAGGAAGGGGGGGGTAACGTTTTTGTGCAGCGTCTGGGACCCCCCTCGAACCCTACAGCCCCCTCCCTTTTGGAGATCCGGCCGCTGGACCCCCCCCTCAGCGGGGGATGGGGAGGACGATTCCTGTTTGAGATTTAGGAATTTCTACTGCCAAAGGGATTTTAATTTTAGTTCAGCCCAACTGTCCACCAGTCTGCAGTGCAGGAAAAAGGGACGGGCTGTTTGCATGTGGCAAGATCTGCCCAGCTCCGGGAAGATGGAGTTTGCGGAGGCTCACCGAGGCCATTTTTCCATCGTCAGCTGGGGAACTTTTTCCGCCCATGGAAGTGCAGCAGAAAGGCATCGAGGCCACTAGGCCTTGAGAAGTGGCTGCCATTTTGAAGATCAGAGTCAAATGGCCTGTAAACTCCGATTAATTGCTGTTTTTGGATTCCAGGTTGATGCTGGCGCAGGATGGATCAGACCTGTGAACTATCTAGAAGAAATTGTCTGCTGCCCTTTTCCAATCCAGTGAATTTAGATGCCCCTGAAGACAAGGACAGCCCTTTCGGTAATGGTCAATCCAATTTTTCTGAGCCACTTAATGGGTGTACTATGCAGTTATCGACTGCCAGTGGAACATCCCAAAATGCTTATGGACAAGATTCTCCATCTTGTTACATTCCACTGCGGAGACTACAGGATTTGGCCTCCATGATCAATGTAGAGTATGTAAATGGGTCTGCTGATGGATCAGAATCCTTTCAAGACCCTGAAAAAAGTGATTCAAGAGCTCAGTCGCCAGTTGTTTGCACTTCCTTGAGTCCTGGTGGTCCAACAGCACTTGCTATGAAACAGGAACCCTCTTGTAATAACTCCCCTGAACTCCAGGTAAAAGTAACAAAGACTATCAAGAATGGCTTTCTGCACTTTGAGAATTTTACTTGTGTGGACGATGCAGATGTAGATTCTGAAATGGACCCAGAACAGCCAGTCACAGAGGATGAGAGTATAGAGGAGATCTTTGAGGAAACTCAGACCAATGCCACCTGCAATTATGAGCCTAAATCAGAGAATGGTATAGACATGGCCATGGGAAATGAACAAGACAGCACATCAGAGAGTAGACACGGTGCAGTCAAATCGCCATTCTTGCCATTAGCTCCTCAAACTGAAACACAGAAAAATAAGCAAAGAAATGAAGTGGACGGCAGCAATGAAAAAGCAGCCCTTCTCCCAGCCCCCTTTTCACTAGGAGATACAAACGTTACCATAGAAGAGCAATTAAACTCAATAAATTTATCTTTTCAGGATGATCCAGACTCCAGTACCAGTACATTAGGAAACATGCTAGAATTACCTGGAACTTCATCATCATCTACTTCACAGGAATTGCCATTTGTAAGCAGTTTTTGGTACAACTTAAATATATACATAAATGTATATATACAGGCAACTTAAAGGGAAATGTAACTAATTGGTTTTTGGTTGCTAATCAGTTCACAGCTGAGAGCCTATTGCTAATGATAGGCTTTTTGGGGAAATTTTACTTTGATTTTTAAATTTATCTGTTGTAAGAGTTTGGTTCTTTTCAGATTTTTCCGGGTTAAGTTTCCATCGAGGATTGCCTAAGAGTTAAAACTTCAAGGGCATTTGATTGAGTTCAGATTTTATTTTTCAAATGGAGGTATACATTTGTTAGGTTTTTTTTGTTCTTGTTTTTTTCTTTAAATGCTTTGGCTTGCTGGTATCATGAGCACAGGTGAACCAATTAATTTCCTGGAGTCCTTTTTTTAACACAAGGCATGGCTTATTTTTTTAGTTGATGGGGTGACTCTTGCTTCAGTTTGGAATGCATTTGGGGTACAAATTGAAAGTGGCTAAGATGAGGAGACCTTCTTGAACATCAGTCAAAATTTAAATTAGGCCAGTTTTTCTGAACTACCTGTTGTGAAGGTATAGCATCCTATGCTTTAGATAAATGCCACCATCAGAGCCTTGAGCTTTTTTGAGCCTTTTCTGGTTTTTAGTTTCAGAGTTTATGTATGTGTACGCAGGTGTGGTATGTGTACGTGTGAAGAAATAGAAGAACTAATTTGAGTTGTTACTTGGTAGTGCTGTGTACTATAAATGATAAAGGTCCTTTTTTGAAATTTTGTAGAATTTCTTGATCAGTTAGCAGAATGAACAGTTGACTTCTTTCAGTCTCAGTTTCATCATTTTTTTTTAAGATTTTATTTATTTATTTGACAGAGATCACAAGTAGAGACAGGCACAGAAAGAGAGAGAGAGGAGGAAGCAGGCTCCCTGCTGAGCAGAGAGCCCGAAGTGGGGCTCGATCCCAGATCCTGGGATCTATGACCCGAACCGAAGGCAGAGGCTTTACCCACTGAGCCACCCAGGCGCCCCGAGTTTCATCATCTTTAAAATCAAACTTCTTAGTTGTTAAAAGATAGCCCTCAGTTTTAAATACTTGATTCTAATTTTGTTTTCTTCTCAGATTGTTAGGTCATCTGTAATGTCACCACAGAGGATCTCCCTGTGATCTGAATTTTTAAAGATTCAATCAGAAAAAATTTTATGGGGTGGTCATTTTGGGTGCATTAAACATTCACTTTATCATAGAGCCTTGATAGCCTTGATGTTCTTTAAAGTCACGAGAATGTGGGTGTGTCACTTTTGTTTGTTGATTCATTTATGAAATATGCTTTAGAACTTCTTGGTTTCTTAACTTGGCAGTTGCAGATTTAAAAAATTTGTTTTGGTAGTTATCTTTTTTGTTTTGTTTTGTTTTTTGTTTTGTTTTGGTAGTTATCTTGAGTCTGTATTGTCCTAGGTATTTTTTAGGGTTGGTAGGCTGTATTGGCAACCTATTGGCAGCTTAGACAAACCCTTTTCCTTGGGTTCATGTTGAAATTATTTTATGTGTATAGTTTTGCCTTTGTGTTTACATAAAACCCTAGATCTGACAGTAGAAATAGATAATTCTCTAGAAGCATATATATAGAAATCTATATCTGTTGTTTCTCATCAAAAGAGATGTCAGTGGAGTATTGGCTCATTTATAAACAGTTGAAAATATTGGAGCCTATAGACAATATGTTAGGTATCTAAACTGGGAGTTAGAAAACTTGTATAAGTAGAATTTTTTTTTTATCCTGGCAGGAAGTCTAAATTGCTTAAAGACTTTATGGGTTTGAAGAGGCAAGTAACCTGTTTATTTTAGGCCTTTGGTTTAAGGTTGTGGATGCAATCTGTAGCTTTGATTTTTGCCTTTGATATTTTTTAACTGAAGATTTGAAAAAGTCAAATCAATCTGAGAATGCAGATCCAGCTGAACAAAATAGCTTGGGAAAGGTGTAATTAAAAATAATTCTATATGGTCACACACTTAATACATATAGACCATTCACAGTTGGTACATTGATACAGCAGGTATAGATTTATGCTCAGGGCTAGAAATTTTATTTTTTTTTAAAGATTTATTGTATTTTTAAAAAATATTTTATTTATTTGACAGATAGAGATCACAAGTAGGCAGAGAGGCAGGCAGAAAGAGAGAGGAGGAAGCAGGCTCCCTGCTGAGCAGAGAGCCTGGTGTGGGGGCTCGGTTCCAGGACCCTGGGATGACGACCCGAACCGAAGGCAGAGGTTTTAACCCCCTGAGCCACCCAGGTTCCCCATATTGTATTTTTTTTTTTTTTTTTTTTGAGAGAGCGCATAAGTGAGCACAAGTGAGCTCACGGGCAGAGAGGCAGAAGAAGAGGGAGAGAAATCGTAAGCAGACCCATCACTGAGCAGGGACCCCAACTCAGGGCTTGATCTCAGGACCTGAGATCATGACCTGAGCTGAAATCAAGAGAGTCACTCAACTGACTGAGCCACCCAGGCTCCTCAGGGCTGGAAATTTTAGAAAATCGTTAGCAAATGCTATTTGTCCTTTTGTTCTGTCTGATATTATGATAGAATAAGATTCTCTTACGGAACAGTAAGAATAGTTACTAGGATTATATACTCCCTGTCTTGAATTAAAGAAAGACACATGATTCAAGATTATATTATCTGTTGTTTGGTATATCTAGCTATAAGCAGACTGTGTCCTGTCATAAGTAAGCAGCCTCATCAGTTTCTCCTTATGTGCTTTTTTTTTTTTTTTGAAGATTTTATTTATTTATTTGAGAGAGAAAGAGAGAGCACGAGTAGGAGGGAGGGGCAGAGGGAGATGTAGACTACCTGCTGAGCAGGGACCCTGACTTGGATCTCTATGCCAGGACTCCAGGATCATGACCTGACTGGAAGGCAGACACATAACCACTTGAGCCACCCAGGCTCCCCCCTTATGTGCTTTTGAGTTACTTTGTCTGATTATAGTGATGTGAAATGATTGTCATAGTTAATAGTCCTGACTGGATGCTTTTGTATTTGATTGGGTGTACAATGCTTCATGATATGTAGGTGCTTGATAAAATATTGAAGGAAAGTTGGTCCCAGAGCTGCAAGTTTAAACAGGCAATAACTTACAGCGTATTAAGTGCTTTGGTCTATATTGTCTCACTGGGTCTTTATAGCCTTGTTGTAAAAAGGGAGGTCATAAATGACATAGGTCTTCCTTCAAGGCACTTGAGATTATTAGAGACAAGACTAAAACCCTTGAAATCAGAATTATCTCAGTACTCTTGGTTTTTCTGTAGTGACTTCTGATGGTCTCTGACACTCTTCCTGGGCCTGGTTTACTCACTAGGCTGATTTGTAGCAGTTGTTTTCTACTCTTACCTTAGATATTTTATAGAGATTTTATACTATGGTGGTATCCATGAATTTAGGGATAGTCAAAACTCTTAGGATGTAGCTAGCTCAGGCTCGTCTGATGTATATATTATACTCTATTTAAAGAAGATCCCTAAAAATGAATCCACTTAAAATGGGGACAACCATTTCATAATGAGAAAATGGTTTACTTAGGATTTTATATTGAAAAGTGAAATTAAGAATTATGAAAGTAAATTTTTTTGAAGATTTATCTATTTGACAGAGAGAGAGAGCACAAGTAGGCAGAGCGGCAGGCAGAAGGAGAGGGAGAAGCAGGTTCTCCACTGAGCAGGGAGCCTGATGTGGGTCTTGATCCTAGGACCCCAGAATCATGACCTGAGACAAAGGCAGCTGCTTAACCGACTGAGCCACCCTGGTGTGCCGAAAATAAATTTTTTAGACCTCTATCAAAACTTTGGTTTTGATGGCAGCTGTTTATTATAATAAGACAAGAATCAAATAGATTAAAAGAAATATTGTCCAGTGAAATTGTACAATAGGGAGATGATATTCTTTATTTTGTTTTACTCTCATCATGATCATAAAGAGGGTAAATTTTTGTAAAATAGTTAAGGACTTAATCAGTTTTAGTAAGGTTCTCTTTTAGAAATGTAGGTTCTGGAAAATTGCAAGCATGTACCAAAGAAGAGGGAATGGTAGAAATTCCCATGTACATACCCAGTTTAAAAAATAACTGATATTTTATCAATCTTGTTTTATCTTCCCTCTGTTGCTGTTCACTTATACTTCTTAATCCTTTGATGTTTATCATGTCACTCTTTGAAGCTCCTGTCCTATTATTGTCAGCTGTCATTTATTTAGTGGTTGACCTGGATTATCCTTTCCTTGCCTGTAATCAAAATGGTTTTTCTTTATTTACGTTGACTTTAAGAAACACAGCATCTTGGGGTGCCTTAATCTTAAGAAAAAAAACAGCATCTTTTCACCAGATTTCTTTGCAGTTTTAATTGTAACTGGTAGTATAATATTAGTTCTTTCATTAGGTGGAGATAGACACTACATTGTCCATAGAAAGATATTTGAATGGAGACTTTATTTATTTAAGGATTTTTTAATTTATTTGACAGAGAGATACAGTGAGAAAGGGAACACAAGCAGGGGGGTGGGAGAGGGATAAGCAGGCTTCCCACTGAGCAGGGAGCCCAGTATAGGACTCGATCCCAGACCCTGGGATCATGACCTGAGCTGAAGGCAGACACTCAATGACTGAGCCACCAGGTGTCCCTGTTTTTTATCTTTTAAAATATTTTATTTATTTATTTGAGAGAGAGAGAGAGAGAGTGAGGGCACAAGCAGGGGGCAAAAGGAAAAAGCCTGCAGCGAGGCTCGATCCCAGGACCCTGGGATCATGACGCGAGGCTCGATCCCAGGACCCTGGGATCGTGACCTGAGCTGAGGGCAGACACTCAACGACTGAGCCACCCAGACTCCCCTGGAGATTAAAAAAGGTTTATTTATTAGACAGCAAGCACACACCTGCTCGTGCAGGTGGGGAGAGGGACAGTGAAGGGGAGAGAGAGAGAATCTCAAGTAGACTCCACTCTGTGCTTAGAGGAGCCTGACTTGTGGCT